GACTAACCTAACTCTTAAGAACATGTCTTGGTTTTGTCTTGGGCTGGGTTCACAAGAACACATCTCGATTTTGTCACAAGTATGCATCTCGGTCCGGGTTGACTAACCTAACTCTTAAGAAGGCCTTACCATAATTGGGTACTCTGCTTTAGTGTGATTGACGAAAGCTAGGTTAGGTTTGGTAATACCTTCATATTTAAAATTGTAGGTGTTACATTTATGATGATTTGGGTCTAGAGTGTTTTTTGAAAAGAGAACACATTTTCAATAGTTGGAAGAAGAAAATATAGTCAATGTAGTTTAAACATTTTCGCTGACGATGTCAATTGTTCAAATTAGTTTATGTGATTATTTTAAAATTGTAAATTATACTTTGACATTTTAAACTATAAATTTAATTTTACTTTACTCACAGAATTATTAAAATTTTTACATTTACTCATCAACTATTTAAACAATTTTAGATTGCATCAAATACAAAAGTTTGCAATATTTTTTCATGACAATTACAGACATGCTGGAAAAAGTTAAAAAAATCATATAATTTAGGATGTAAAATAAAATAAATATTCATCAAATTTATAACGGACATTAATAATGGATGCAGCGTAAACAACTCACATATTTGAAGGTACAATTTAAAAAAAATAATGCTATTTGAACCAAAAAATATGACAATTTAAGAAATAATATGAAAATAGTCATAATTGAAGAGGTCAACATGTAATTTACCATATTAAGAGGCTGATTTTAGTTTCCAAAAATGAAAGCCGTGGGGCAATTTGTACCGTTATTTGCCAAATCTCGCGCCTTTCTCTCTCCCTCCCAACATGTTTCCAAAGTCAGGAGTCTTTCTTTCCTCAAATCTACCCAAATCTTGTTAATCATGCATCTCGCTCGCTCTCTTCCTTCTCCATTCATGCCCTAATCCCCGTCCCCTCCTCCCATCCCTTTGTTTTTGCCTTGTCATCTCCTTCTTTCTCCCTAAGGCAACAAACGCCCAGCCAAGTCAACGCACAGCTGAAATCGTCGTGAAACCCCACCAATTCGTCTGTCATTGCATCTTGTTCAGTTCTCTCTCCTCTGATTCTTCATTATCTCACCACTCACACCATCCACTACCACTGTTTGTCACCATCCCACATACCCACACTCCTTTGTGATTATTCTCTTCACGCCCCAAATTATGGCATCCTCTTTCTCAGCCTTTGCTTTCTCCTCCCCATCTTATTCTTTATCTCTCTGTCTCCTCTCCGCAGAAATGTCATTGCCAGCTCCAGCGCTACCAACCCTCTGATGCCATCAAGGTTTAACTATGTGTCTTCCAACTAAACTTGTTCATCAATAGCTCGAGACTTCAGGGTTTTCTTGAAATCTATCTTGCAGAATTTTTTGCATTTTTTCCTTCTGATGCAAATAATCTAGTTTCTACTATTCTAGATTGGTTTGAAATCTTGGTCTACAGTTCGCCAGGTAATAGTCTTTGTTCTTATTCATTGTCTTTCTATGGATAATTTTCTCATAAGCTTTCCTGCGTGATATGAAGATCACTGTGAAGAAAGATAAATTTTAAATTTCAGAAATTGTTTTCTTAGAATAGTGAAAAATAAATTTCCACTACCCCAAGACTCACAACCGAAATTGAAGAAAAACGAAAAAATTAGAATATAGCTCCAAAAAATGAGGGAAGAAAAAAACATTTATTATTATGGAAATATCTAAGTTACCAGCTTACAAAAGAGAAAAAAACTTGCAAGAGAGAAAGTAAAAATAAGTTGGTAATTGTTGTTGGTGATTTGTGTTTTTGTTGGCTTAGTGAATTGGGTTAGTGGGGGTCTATTTATAGGTGACTAGAGAAGGGTCTAGAAACTCAAGCTAGGTGCAGGTTTGAAAAGTTTAAGAATTATAACTTATAGTGGTGAGCATTGGTAGAAAAGTGAAGGTTCTAAATGTTGGTAGAAGGCTCAAGAAAGATATTAACTGCAAATATGTTCTACAAGGTTCTAGATATTGAAATTTTTAAATACATTAATCCTCACTACATCCCTCAAAAATAAAATATTTAAATAAATAATTACCAAAAATTTACTTAAAATTTTTAACACTCTCCTTAAAGTGAACTTTTGAAAATAAGTCCAAACTCAGCACGAAGATTCTCGAATGGTCCCTTGGAGAGAGACTTTGTGAAGATATTTGCAATGTTGTCCTTACTCCGCACCTCCAATACTTCAATTGTTTCGTCAAGCACCTTCTCACGAATAAAATGATGCTCGATCTCAATTTGTTTTGTTCTTGCGTGATACACTAGATTAATAGCCAATTTTATAGCACTTTGATTGTCACCAAGACGTTTTGTAGGTTTATGAATAGGTGAAAACACATCCCCAACAAGCTGACGAAGCCAAGTGTATTCTTGAGTAGCAAGAGTGGAAGTCTTATACTCCGTTTCAGTAGTAGAAACAAGACTAAGTCTTGCTTTTTACTACACCAAGAGACGCATGCCGAACCACAAGAACACATCTCGGGCCAAGTTGACTAACCTAACTCTTAAAAATGCCTTACTATAATTGGGTACTCTGCCTTTAGTATGATTGGCGAAAGCTATGCTAGGTTTGGTAATATCTTCATATTTAAAATTGTAGGTGTTAAATTTATGATGATTTGGGTCTAGAGATTTTTTTGAAAGAGAACACAATTTCGATAGTTGGAAGAAGAAAATATAGTCAATGTAGTTTAAACATTTTCATTGACGATGTCAGTTGTTTAAATTAGTTTATGTGATTATTTTAAAATTCTAAATTATACTTTGACATTTTAAACTATAAATTTTATTTTACTTTACTCCTAGAATTATTAAATTTTTCTCATTTATTCATCAACTATTTAAATTATTTCAGATCGCCTCAAATACAAAAGTATGCTATATTTTTTCATGACAATTACAGACACGACTAGAAAAAGTTAAAGAAATTGTATAATTTAGGGGGTAAAATAAAAAAAAATATTCATCAAATTTATAACTGACATTAATAATGGGAGCGGTGTAAAACTACTTATATAGTTGAAGGTATAATTTAAAAAGAATAATATTATTTAAACTTAAAAATATGACAGTTTAAGAGATAATACAAAAATAGTCATAATTGAACCGATCAATATATAATATTAGAGCAATGTTACTTAAATTTTAAAAATAAATTTAAAAAATAAACTTGATAATCTCAATTATTAATTTCTCTGTAAATTCTAATAAATATTAGACCTCACTATTTATTTAATAATTTTTAAATTTATGTCGCTGATTTTAGTTTCCAAAAGTAAAAGCTGAGGCGCGGGGCAAATCGTACCGTTATTCCCCAAATCTCGCGCCTTTCTCTATCACTCCCGACATGTTTCCAAAGTCAGGTGCCTTTCTTTCCCCAAATCTTGCTAATGTGTCTTGCCATCTCCTTCTCTCTCCTACGAACGCTCAGCCAAGCCAGCGGCCGTGAACACCCACCAATCCGTCTGCCATTGCATCTCGCTTGGTTCTCTCTCCTCTGATTCTTCACTAACTCACCACTCACGCCATCCAATACCACCGTTTGTCGCCGTCCCACATACCCACACTCCTTTGTGATTATTCTCTTCACACCCCAAATTAACGCCTCCTCTTTCTCAGTCTTTGCTTTCTCCTCTCCATCTTATTCTTTATCTCTCCCTCCCCTCTCCCGGCGATCTGCGAAACACCGTTGCGGCTCCAGCGCTACCAACCTTCCGACACTTTCTCTTTGCAAAGAGAATTTCGAAATGTGTCATCCAAATAAAGTTGTTTATCAATAGCTCGAGACTTCAGGGTTTTCTTGAAATCTATCTCGCAGAATTTTCTCCAATTTTTTCTTCTGATGCAAATAAACTAGTGTCTACTATTCTAGATTGGTTTGAAATCTTGGTTGAAAGTTCACCGGATAATAGTCTTTGTTCTTGTTCATTGTCTCTTTATATAGGAGCGTATCTCTTCTTAGGCTATTCTAAACTGATTTTTATTTGCTTATTTATTTGATGTTAGAAATTATGTTTTGTAAAACTCTAAATCAAAATAATATTACCAACGATTCCAATAATCTAAGCGTGGTTGCCTCTTTTGAGGAAGAGTCTGTGCAGCCTTTTTTGGGTTAAAAAAGATGTCGGGGTCAAGTTGATTGGCCACATAATCTATTTCTTGTAGGGAAAAATGAATGGAAGAGCTGGTTCAATTTTTTGGTTTTGTAGGCAGATAAGGAAGCATGAATGGACAGAACAGAGGCAGCTACAGAAAGTTAGAATTGATACAATGATATTGGTCTACCAAGCTGCAGCTAGGTTTAAGAGTATTGCATCTGTTGATCCGGATTGTAAGTCATCGGAGAGATTGTTGCATTGAACTCTTGCACTGTTTATTGAAGCTGCTGATGCATTTTTATTCCGTGTCTCGCGAAAATTGAGAAGTTATGAAGACTCTTCAGCTCTTTGCTTGCTGGGATTTCCCAAGTTGCAGTCACTCACCGTGGGCAGCTGCTGCGTGTTATGCTTATTCACTTCAAACCCCTTTTGTCAAGTACATGTGCTCAGGTACATTGTTTGTTCACTGTGGATTATCTTCTGCATCTGGGGACACACATTTTGGTACATGTTTTTGCATATGATGCACATTTGGGTAACACTTTTGCAATATGAACAGGCTGCTACTTGGGTTAGAAACCAGGGAGCCATGTTTTAGTGTGTCTTGAAGACAAGCTATGAGATAATATGATGCGGATGGAGCAAGGACTGTTCTCCTGTGTGCAGTTCTATATGAGGTTAGCTTTATATTTTTGTTAATAGACATGTTGAATGGCAACACATATAAGACAACCAAAAAGTAAAGCCAGCATGTGCATATATATAGACTCCGAATTGGGGCATGTATTTGTGAGAGTGCATGTTTTTTTTATGGATTGGTCATGTGCTCTACACGTATTCTTTTTGATGTTTATGTGGTCAATTGCTAATAAACTGAAATTCGGTAGAGCGTGTTTTTCACAATTCAACGCATGGTTAATATTGGAGAAAATAGTTTGGATTATACAAATTAATTCTGTTATTCCTGCCTTTTCTTAAAGATCTAAGTTGAGTTGACTATCTTATTGAAATTAAATGTTATTTGCCATTAACTAGTTTCTGTTTAATTTAGTTGAGTTGTCAAAAAAACTAGTTTAGTTAACAGGTAGAGGGATTTCTTATCACCTTCTTATTTACTTGATTTATATTTGAATGTGAGATATTGAATTAGGTTGAGGTTCTTCAATTTGCAGGAGTAATATGCATATTTTCTCTTAGTCGTAATTACCTTTTACCCCCTTCTAATTTTGCTCAAAAATAAGTTACCTCGAGTTTTAGAATTATGCACATAACCTTCCTATGGTTGCTGGTTGCTTACCCAAGTGAAAAGCCTAACACTGTTAAAGAAGCTAACATTTGCTCACAAAACTTGCACGACTAGATTTGTGCATAACAAAAGCTTGGAGTGATTTGGTCTTGTTTAAATGCTTTTGGATGTGAATTAGATGAGAAAGAAAATGAGGGTTTCGTTGAGTTGCAGAAACTTTCCGGCCGGCGGCCGCATTCCAGCCGTAAGTTGTTTGCGCAGTTGTATATGAAATAATAAGAATTATTGATATGGTCTTCTCTTTCCTCCTGTACAAATATTAGTTGTTTGCTAATCTTTTCGTTGTAGAGAGGAGATGTGTAAAAGAGAAGTATTGGACATAAAGAGGCTTAGAAGAGAAACAACAAAGAGCAATGTAGAGAGTGAAAAGACAGTCAGTTTATCTATTATATGTGGGGGTATTAAGGTCATTTTGTCATCACCACGATCATCAGTGGTGCATTTTGGTCTTCAGACCACCCTATATTTATGTTACTTGGTTTATCTATTATGGTGATCTTGTTCATCGAGAGCCCTTTCAGTTCTCAAATGATGTTACATGTGCCTTATTGTTTTATCCTATATAACTCTTGTTGCTTTTGATGGTCTACTAGACATTTCTTTACCTTATTAATCCATCTTATTCAATTGTTAATCTCTCTTTCCCTTTTTTTGTACATTTCATGCACTGATAGTTTCAATCATGTATCCAAAGCAAATAATTGGCAAAGAGCATAGCCCACAACTGGTGTGGTTTCTCTTTCATGCGAGATACGAAGTGGTACAGGTGCACAAATGATTATTGGACTGGCACAAAGACTGCAAATATCCCTGCAGTTATGGCAGCAACAGCTGCAGCGTTGGGAGCGAATTTAAAATTGACCGAGGCATTCAATTTGGAGGTGATTAGTACCATATAGACAATGTTGCAAAGTGTGATCATGCTGGAGAAATTGCTGGCATGAGGAGCTTATATGAGAGCATCGGTGGACTTGATTCTAAGCCTATGCTAATGGGTTCGGGGGATAAGCTTGATGTTCCAACTCTGGGGTCTGGAGTCGCCCTTCAGCACCCACAGTCCAAAAACAATTCATTTTATGAGATATTACTTACCAGGTTTGTGTATCTGCCACAAAAGTTTGTTACATTTCATAAAAGGTGGGGGAAGTAGACAAGTCAGCATTTCGTGAAACTTGTTCCCAAGCGACTGGTTTCAGATCTGGTAAACAAAATCTTGTCTTTCATTTATTTCTTTCTTTCTTTAGGACTAGAAAAATGTAATCCTAATTCATCTTTGGCTTTTATCCTATTTCAGATCTGAAGTCAAACGTGGAAAGCTTCTCGCAACTTCTGGTGTTGGGGTTCAATTTCCATGCTGATGCAATGGAGACTGGTGTGTTTATTTGGATGTCATTAGTTTGGGTTGCACTTCAATGGGGTTCTCTAGTCCTTGCTGGTTGATGCGTGGTTGTGGACAATTGGTACAAAGACATGACTTTTTACTTTTGAAGTGTGGTATTCTGGGCCTGCTGCAAAATTAAGGCCTCACCTTGATTATGGGGAGCCAGAAATGCAGCCTAAAGGGTCCTGTTGAACAAATCATGGCTCGTAGGCTATGGCTTTCATTGATTGTGTTGAGGTTAGTAATTTGAGTCTTTACCATACACACCTGTTTCTCATCCATTTTTATTTGTGTTCCATAATTTGATATGAAAATGCTTCATTCTTTATGTTATGCACTAATAAAACTTGTGTGTTCTCTGATGTCCACCCGATTTGTGATTGGGCATAACTTTTGCTGGTTGTCTCTCCCCCGTTATGAGTTGAGGTTGTGAATAGTGATGTATCCTTTTATTGTTACAGCATCATTTAGTGATAAAATTTAACCTCTAGATTTGTGATTGGGCATAACTTTCGCAGGTTGTCTCTCCCCCGTTATGAGTTGAGGTCATGGACAGTGATATATCCTTTTCTTGTTACAGCATCATTTAGTGATAAAATTCAACCTCTAGTTTTTTTTCGTGGAAAATGCACACCAAGACATGTATAATACGATATATATGTATGTAAACCGTTGCATTTTCCCCATATTTGTCTTTATCATAATTGACAATAATCTTTAGGTGTATATTTTTCCTTTTAGAACAACAATTGATATCTACCACGCTGTCTCATGAGTCATGACACATTTTATATACGTCTTTACTTATTTTATCCTCTCTGTACCATCAGCTTGTCTAGTGATGCAATAATGTCTTGTAAACATCTTTGTGACCAAAAATGTGAAACTCATATGTCCTTTGGCGCAATTTTTTTTCCTGTTCCAAGTTTGGTGTGAATTGATGATACAATATTCCCATTGCTACTTTTGCCCTTAATACCAGTGTCTAATGACAGTTGTGCCACTGCCTTATTTATACTGTTGTTCCAATAATTGTTATGCCACTGCCTCTCAGTGTACTATCATTCGAATGACCATCTTGTGTATATTGGCCTCTAGAATATTTTGACATCCATAGACTTCCTGTTAAGAAATATCTGTGCTATTTGATAGCATATGTCCATTTGTTAGCTTTTTTAGTGTTTTATCTTTAGGATTACTAACTAAGTTCATTTGGATACTAATATTTGATAAACGCTTTGATGAACATAATAATAGAATTTCTCAGAGTTATTTCTCACCTCATAAGTGAGATGTTGTTGATTGTCTACTGACTACACTTCAATAAGAAACTTATCTGCTGGCAAACTTAGTAGAGCATGATTAGAGGGTAAACACGTGCTTGGTTGTACTGCTACTTTAGTATTTCTTGCTTTCTATTTTATTCGGCTGCTTCTATCATATCAATGAAAGAAGGTATCATATTTCCGTTGCACTTGACTAGCATGTTGCTATTGTTGTTGTTGGATAATGATGACGTTGTTGCTAAATTGCGCTATACATGTAAAGTTCACTTGTATTGTCAATTCTGTACTAGGCTTTTCCTTCTCTGTTCAGTAGGTAGACTAGTTACATTGTATTAATACTTTATTGATACAAAATTCCTATAGTTAGGGTTGTTGAGTTGTCTTTTTCTAAATTGTTTTAATTTTGCAGCTAGTTTGACAAGATAGTGTAGAGCAGCTCTTGCTTCTTGATCTGTTACAAGGACCTCAAAACTTCCCTAGAACTTTTGTGTTTTACTGCATAGTAACTTGGTACCTGAAGTTCAGGTTTCGCAATGGGCAGAGCAGTTTACATTCCTTCTACCATTACTATACTCAATGCAATTGGAACTCCTAGGTTGTTGCCTTTTTTTCCTCCATGAAATGCTATGCCTACCATTAGGCATTTCAACCAGTCAATTGATAACTGATACATTTTTCTGTTTAAATATTTAAATCATGATTGCCAAACTGTATTGTTAGGATAATCTCTGCTCTTGTTAAAGTAATTTTTAGTAGCCATCATACTTTCTGAAGTTAAAAATAAATTTTCAAATCTTTCGGGCACTCTTTCTTATCTTATCGACCATATAATTCTTTTTGGTTTTTATCTGCACAGATCATGCTGCAGTTCATATGTTCTAATGTTGCTTATGTGTGTGTGTTGTCAAGCATGTATTGTTAACATAGGCATAGTAATACAAAAATAAGACGGGAAACACTGAATTTAAAGAATGCCACTGGCCGATGCTCACTGCTTATGATTAACGACTTATTTTTTTTTTCCTTTTCTCAATCTAAGTTTTTCAAGGAGTCGTCTTATTCAATTTAGACTAGTTTCAGTAGTATTTGCTAGTTTGTTTATATCAGAATTCATTCTATTTTTTTTAACCTTAAATACAAGTCTGAATGCCAATTGTGTTTTTATGCTACTGCAAGAAACTTAAGGAAGGGGAAAGATTTTTTGAAAACTATTGCTAGAATTTATGTAATTGCAACCATTACTGCTTGTAGGGTCCTGACCTGTTGGGATGTTGTTGAGTCTTTGGGTTATGCGTCATGTGGCTGCGGCAGTACACCTGTTTTGCTTACTATTGTCTTTGCTCTACTTGAAAACATATCGATAAGCAACTTGGCAGGTTATTGAAAATGATATTATGGTTTTATATGCTAATATTTGCAATTGTTTTTATTATGTGCTGATGGATTGATCAAAGAGCAAAATTAAAGGTCACAATTAATTCCGAAGTCAATTTTTTAACTTGTTTCTTTCCAATGGTTGATGTTGTGCATATTATGAATCAATACATAAACATAAAATAGTGATGACATTGTACTGAGCAACACAATAACCACTAAAAATGATGCATTTGCTCTTTTTTTTTTGCAGAAATGAGCGCACGGATGGTGAATGTGTATTCTAATAGATTCAAGCAAGAGGGGTGAAGTATGACAGGACGATGAGTAATTGGTGTCCCAGTGTTCACTTTCTAATCAACCGGAAGAAGAATTCTTTATGTATAATTCAATTATGTTGCATAGAGTACTTCCTATATATCTCACTTGTTGGTTGTCACTTGCAGGCTTATTTATTTCTGGCACCCCAGATCCGTATGATCAAATGCTACGATTGAAGTCAGGTGAGTTAATTTTTTTGGAAATTCGTCAGCAATATTATAGTTGTACTTATGGTGGAGGAACCGTATTTCCTGCTTATGTTTTGAGTTTATGCAAATAAGTGACGTATTGTGTTGGTGGTTGGGTTAACTTACGGAAAACTGCGAGATGTTTGTGCAAATATATATTGATGAATTATGCTTACGGGTGAATAACTCATATGAAAGAACCATAGACTTGTTTTGCCTAATTTCATCCTTAAATATTTATTTGGACTTGAATCATAGAAGAAAAACCACCCGAAAAAAGGAGGAAGAAGAAGACAAGATTACAGACAACCAATGGCACTTACATTTCACAATTGATACATCATTTCCTGAATGAGCTGCACCTGGTAATTTGAATAATGAACCTTGATGGAAACTAGACAACATGGGTCTGGCTCCTATTTGTTTTTAATTTATTGTTCAGTTCTTTAGATATGCAGAATTGATAGAAGAATTAGACAAATTGTTTTATTACTGTTAATTTTGAGATTCAAAAATGATTATGAATGAGATGCCTTCAATCGTGATTTGAATTTGATGTCATTTTTTGCAGGTATATTCCGCTGGTGAATTTGTTGTCTCGCAAAATTTGTCTGACTATTTGATGCTCTCAAATAATTCAAGTTTACTTAATCATGGAATACACAAGAAAAGGTAGAAGTGAGCTTCCTTATTTCTTTAGTTTTTTCTCTCCATAACTAACTGTTTTATATTATTTGCTTTACAAAGCTGATGTTTTTTGTTCCTTGTTGCTGATGTTGTGTTCCTATAATAATTGATTTTTTTTATCTAGTTGTTGTCCTTCCGACAAATCTGTGTCATATCAATTTTTACAATAAAACTAGGCCATAGTCTTGCTATACACTGATTAAATTTGAATATATGTTAGATCAAATGAGGTCGGAAACACATACTATGAATTTACCCATACCAGAAGCAATATAAAGGCTTGAAAACCGGGCATCAATCAAGCAAACAAACAAGAATGCTTTGAGGGTGGGCACATAAAATATTTTCCCGGCATTTATTTACATGCCAAAAAACTATTCCACAGGATAAGAACTGCTGACATTTCATAAAACGTTGTTACTAAATTGTCTGGACATCAGATTTGGCTAAACACTGGTAAAAGCGTTGTTGTTGATTTTCTAGTGTTTATGTAAACTCGTATACCTTTCCCCGGTAAATGCCATCAACGCAGAGGAAAACTTTTTCCGAGTTTATTTTCCTCTTTTCTTATAGTGTAATAACCATTGATCTAGTAAATAATAAAAAAAAATAATATAATCTAGAATACTTTACACGTGTCATACTCTCATTGATAGAAAAAATATGAGTTATTGTACTAAAAAGTAGTTTTTCGGTACCCTAGTTTTACCCGCAGTGTTAAGCCAGGCACTGTTGGTTCAAGATATTTTTGTGTTCAGTTGCCGCACTGGATACTTTGGAAAATACTAACCTAAGCCAACGGGAACTGTAGTCAAGTGCATGGGACTGCATGTCGGAGAGGATTAGTTCAATAATTGAAATTTTGAAGACTGAGAAAAGTAAAGAAGTTAGCAAAAGTAAGTTGTAGGCGATCTTACCACTATTTTGAAGAAACCGGTTTTCATATTTGAACCCGTCACGTGTCACCTCTTTACATAGTGATTTGATTGGTAAGGTGGGAAAACTGAGTTGAGGAAGAAATTCTTTTAACAGTGTATAGCTAGATAGCTACAGCTATGTTTTAGTCCCGGTGTCCCTTCTTCCACTAGTATATCTCAAGATTTTTACAGTGGGAGCACTCATACTGGAGTTTGATAATATTATGGAGTGGCTGAGATGATGACTACTCCAAGGGATGGAACTTTACCTGAGCTTATGGTGCCTCTTTTGTTATGACCATCGAATTACTGGAACTTCAAGTTGATAAATATGCCCCACTCTTCTTTTTTTTTGGGGTCCCCCCTCCCCCCGGGGCCGGGTAAGTGGCTACCTACAGTAAGCATGAAAAGTAGCATCACTTAATATTAGTTGTAGAAAGAATTTTTGGATAGTGTATTGTTTATTATCAAGGATGTGGGGGGGCTTAGTATTTTAGTTGTGTGCACCATTGATTAGGCGAATACTTAGTATTAGCATCCTTTTTGCACCAGAAATTAAGAAAAAAAAAAAGAAATAGGTAGCTGGCTTACACTAGTCCTGAAAAGGATTGGTGTGGATGGATGCCCCATGGATTTTTCTTCCTCTTGTTATGGCCATCATGATTTGATCAACCTACTATTCCTTTCATCATGCCTGGCCCCATACTCTCCTTCCGAGGAATCCAAAAATGGAGAGAGAGAGAGAGAGAGAGAGAGAGAGATCCTCTTCCTCTTCAAGAATGGTATCCATCGCTGTTGTGAGGTCGTAAGATATGATTCATCCTCAAAGAAAGTTCATGCATATACAGCTGTTTGCTTTGTGCTGTTTAATGCTAGACTCTCTTCCCATACTAGACAACTACATTGCTTTTGGATATGATGGGATATAAACATTGGGTTTGGACCAACTCTACTCAGATATTCTTAAAAAAAAAAGAGTAATGAGTTGATGAATCAATTCTTGTTATAAACAGCAATTAATTTCTTACATCTCTTTCTAAGTTACTATTGTTGTCTTCTTTTCAGTTTCTTTTTCAATGGTTATCGTCTTACATCTCTTTATGAGTTCTATTGATGCCTTCTTTTCAATTTTTTTCTAAGTTACAATTTTTTTTTTCCTAATATATATTGCTTAGTAAAGTAGATATGGATATAAATTTACATTAAAAATATATGATAGGACATGAGATGGGAATGGCAAACTTTAGGTAGTGAGTAAATATTTGATTTTTAGCCAAGTAATGAAATTTTGTTTTGAAATGGTCGAAACATTTGAACCGTTTTTACTACTATATGTAGGTTATATGTAGGTTATACATATATAGTAACATTCAAATACAAAAAAAAATTATCATTTGGATGCAAAAAATAATACATTTAAACATAAAAAAAATTGAAACATTCAATATTAATATTTTTAAAAAATAACAATAGTAACATATTCAATAAAAACTGTAACATATTTAACAATTTCTCTCAAATTCAAACTCAAAAAATAGTATCATTCAAATATAAAAAATAATAATATTGAATATTAATATTTAAAAAAATAATAATAGTAATATGGTTAACAAAAACAGTAACACGTTCAAAAATAATAGTATATGAACAATAACATACTCAACAAAAGTAGTAATATGAACAGTAACGTAATAAAAAAAATAATAACATGAATTTAAATTTTATTATTCAAATTCACAGTAATTTTTTTTTTTGTATTTGAATGTTATTATTATTTTTTTAATGTTACTATATATATATAGATACCTAACCTAGAAAAAATTAATTTTTTTGCAAGGAAGGATATTTTTAAGATAAAAAAAAGTGAATTTAAGTAATTACATATAATTTAAATATGAACTTAACTCCTTATAAATTTTCTTATAAGATTTATCTCCAAATAAATATATCTACGGAGACTCACTTTTAATTTTTACAAATAAATTTGGTAGTGACTCTATGACTAATGAGAAGAGACAGAGAGACCTAATTCCTTGGCCCAGTAAGTTTGGGCCACGTTAACTTGCCAATTTGGCACGAATTACAAGGGTTTAGAGTAGGGCTAGTGTGCCATGCGTCAGTTTTACGTCATTGTCTTGTATGAGCTGGCTGGTTGGGGAAAAGGAGCTGTAGCCAGAAGGTAATGAATGCCCAAACTCCAAAGTATCTTTCCTTTTTAATTCGACGAATGTGAATTCTCTTTTTAATACAACCACAGATTAGCTTCCATAGGTAGATGTAGTTCTTTCTTTTCACATCGTCTAAGTAAGATCTTCTTCGATTTTTCTTTTACTACTACATTTTTGATCTTTTTATACTTAATAATATTTGTACAACGGTTTGTGATTTATTTTTTGTAAATCAATATAAAAATTGTTAGTTTAATCTTAATTTAACTCAGTAAAATCTTATTTTAATGATCAATTATATTACTTCGATATTGCTATTATATTGTATTAAGGATTATATTTTTTGTTGAACTATATCATATGCTAATTTATTTAAAATTAATTTTGATATACTTTTTACTTTAAGTGTTGTACAAGAAATTGATAACTTTCGGTTTTCGATTTATTGATTGGGACTAGGTTGAGCTTTAGGTCAATCAAATTGATTGGTTTATACGTATGCTGGGAGTCTATATTTTGTTTGGTGTATGGTCAACGGTCCTAGGGAGGGCAATGCATTTGGATTTTCATGGGTTGTTCTAACTTAATCAAAGAACTGGTACCATATTTAGTGAGTGGACCAGTTTGAGGAACAAGGTACACGCACTTGAGACTTGTCTTCTAGGTTAGTGGGGTCACAACAAGAGCTCCTTAGATTTTTTTTTTTTTTTATTATTATAAAAATGCCCTACTTCATTTCAAAATTAGAAGAGTTGAGACAATCAAGAATCTAATATATAAATTTCTCAATTCATAACGTTGATTCAATGGCCGAACAAATGGCTTAGATGAAAATTAATTTCTCTTAAATTTGAGATTTTTTTTTTGTCATGCAAAATTGGAATATGAATTTAAATTTTTTGAACACATAGAAATCACGATAGTTGAAAATCTTGACCGGCAAGTCTCTCTTGTACCATATTTGGAATGAATTGAAGGAAGTGTGGAGCCCTCTAAACCCCATTCTAATTGAGTAATTTGTGGATAATTAAATAAATTAATAGTGCTTATGTACTGGTAAGGTCATTCCTTTACTACTCACTAAGCGTTGAACTGATTCCTCTCACAAGTACCAAATACTCCTGCTACCATAAACCCCACCCACCAGAAGCTTCGTCCCCAAACACCCCCCTCCACCCCCAAAAAAAAAACTTCTCACCCCCTGTAAAGCCAACCCTTCTTTCTCCACGGCATTTAAATTCCGTCTGGCACACAATCTTCCTATACAAGCAAAGATATTTGTATAGACAATCCAGTACTTCATAAAATCAAAAGTGCTCTGTTTTAGCAATCCCATGGCTTCCTCTGTTCTCTTGTTCTTCTTCTTCACAATTTTCTGTACATATATTTCTCTTTCATGGCAAGAGATTCTACTCTTACCACTCACCCACTCGCTTTCCAAAACCCAATTGAACAGTACCCACCACCTCCTTAAATCCACCACCACCCGCTCCGCCACCAGGTTCCTCCACCATCGTCACAGCAACCAGAACCGCCAAGTCTCCCTCCCACTCACACCCGGCAGCGATTACACCCTGTCTTTCTCTCTTGGCTCCCAAACTATCTCTCTCTACATGGACACCGGAAGTGACCTCGTTTGGCTACCCTGCCACCCATTCGAATGTATCCTATGCGAGGGGAAGTACAATCCCACCACCATCCCCAACCCCAACCCACTCAACCTGACCTCCGCTTCATTAGTCACGTGCAAGTCACGTGCCTGCTCTGCTGCTCACTCCTCTCATTCCTCCTCCGACCTCTGTGCCATTGTGAAATGCCCATTAGAAGATATAGAGACCTCCGACTGTAAATCTTACTCTTGTCCACCTTTCTACTATGCTTACGCCGATGGAAGCTTGATAGCTCGGCTTTACACCGACAGTTTATCGATACCCATGTCGTCGCCGAACCTTGTCCTTCGAAATTTCACTTTTGGGTGCGCCCATAGCTCCTTGGCTGAGCCTATCGGCGTCGCCGGGTTCGGCCGTGGAGTCCTCTCATTGCCGGCCCAGCTCGCTAGCTTCTCTCCTCAATTGGGTAACCAATTCTCTTACTGTTTAGTCTCTCATTCATTTGAAACCAACACAGTTCGCCGGCCAAGTCCACTCATTCTTGGTCGGTACTCGATGGACAAAGCGAGAGAGAAGCAATTACGCAACCTTGAAGGTGAGTTTGTTTATACACCAATGCTTGATAATCCGAAATACCCTTACTTCTACTGTGTTGGGTTTGAGGGGGTATCGATTGGTGGTCGGAGAATCACCGCGCCGGAGATTTTGAAGAGGGTTGACGGAAGAGGAAACGGAGGGATGGTGGTGGACTCCGGGACCACGTTTACTATGTTGCCTAATGAATTTTATGAACCGGTTGTGGCTGAGTTCAATCGCCGGGTTGGAACGGTGTATAAACGGGCGAGTCAGGCTGAGGATCGAACTGGACTCGGTCCCTGTTATTATATTGATGACTCGGTTGATATGAAGGGAAGGAATGTGCCTCAGGTTGTGTTGCATTTTGGGGGAAATTCTAGTGTGGTAATGCCTAGGAGGAACTATTTTTATGAATTTGTTGAAGGTGATGATCATGGGAAGATAAAGAGGAAGGTGGGCTGCATGATGTTGATGAATGGTGGTGATTTTGAGAATTCTGGTGGGCCTGCAGGGTTATTTGGCAATTATCAGCAACAGGGTTTCGAGGTGGTTTATGATTTGGAGAAGAGAAGGATTGGGTTCGCAAGGAGGAAGTGCGCATCATTGTGGGATACTTTGAACCAACGCTAATATGACACAATGTGGCCTTCATGACATGGTGTTTGGTTGTGTCTTCAGGTCAAAGGGTTTGAGCTGGGTTGTGAAGTAGTTTGACCGCACGTGTGGGTTTTGTGCAAATGGGTTCAAATCTGGGAATAAGAAGGGTCTAAGGTTGGATAAAGTTGCTTGAACTCCATTTTTGGCTTCTAAGTACTCCATTTCCAAGTGTACATGTTATTGTTTATATTACATAAGCTGATAATAATGTGGAGTATAAGAAGCAAGAAATGGAGGGCAAATAGAGGGAGGATCAAGATGTAAATTTTGAAATTGCATATTGTAAATTTTGTTCTGTATATTTCTTGATACTTAATTTGAGATGAGTTTGAAAAGACATATGTTTAAGAAATAAGAGGGAGATTATTATTATGGATTTTTTGGGAGTGGATGTGACAATTCGGATAGCGGGACAAAAATAAATGTTAGTTCGTAGTTATTTTTAAGATTTTGGGACCCAATTTTATTCTTATTTTTTTGATAGGTGAGTGTGTACAAGATGAGATAATGTAGATGAGCTTTGTTAGAGCAAAAAACCCATTGGAGGGGCCAGAACTAGACCGAACATCAAATTAATAGAGACACCGAATTAATAGTTCATTAGTTCAATCAAATTAGTAGAAGAAGCCTTACTAGAGCTGGAGGAGAAAAATGGCCACAAAGATCAATGGTCAAATCGTTTGATTAGGGCAAAATTGCCCCAAAAAATTGAATTTCCAATTTTTTTATCGTGTTTAGGTTTGAACTGTCTAATTTTAAAAAGTCATCCGGTTCATCGATTTTAGCCAATACAGGTCAATTTGGCAGTTCTTCGGCGGTTCAATTACACAAGAGGGTCCTTTAAATAAATTAGACCAGTTTAGGACCCGATTCATTGGTTTGGTCCAGTCCGGTTCTAATGATAGTGGATGGAATTGAGATTTTGTTTTCGTTTGTAATTTGCTATTCCTATGCTAGAATAGTCTATGTTTGGTGAGACCTCAATTATCAGACAAATGATATCTTCAACTATTGCAAATACGGGATTTGAGGTGACTCAAGTTACTTAATAGGGGTCTATTTCGATGGCCACCCCATTTAATAATTTTTGTGCTTTTGACTTTTATGTTCATAATTTCATTGAAACGAAATCAGGTAGCTTTAGGACTACTACACCCTCCCCTCCTCCCCTTCTGTTCTTTGAAACAAGGGGTAGCGTAAACCCTCTCTGGCAAGTAAATAGTAATAAATCAAAAGTGAAGCTGTCAGATTGTGAAGTGGGTAGTGTGTGAATCTTGTGCGTGCTGTATGTACACCTTCTGCTGTAATAGTAAAGCCTTCAATGAACCTGTCTTCTCCCAGGTTCCTTCACCAACAAATTAGATAAAAACCACTTTCTCTTCTTTTCAAGTGCATCATTCATATCACTACTCACATTCAATGAACAATTACTGATAGGAGCATTCAAAACTACTCATCCATTGTTTGCCACCAGACAAGCAAAAGATTCGAGAGTTTAGACTAAAAATATATGCATAGATAGTGGTCAAATGACAAGATTTACGACAGAAGCTTGGGAATCGAGATGGAGCCATATGATGCAGAAATCTCATGTAAGGTTCCTTGAAATTGGTCGAGAATCTCGTCATTTGTTAGGTGAGCCAACCGAGTTGGGGATCTCTCATTTTCTAGAAGGGACGAGACAAGAAAAGAAGACACAATAGTTGTGATTCAAGAAAAGACAAGTCAATGCTAAGGCAAAAATTTATGAGATCTCCTATATATATATATATTAGTAATTGAGTGAGACTCATTTGTGTGCAATGAGTCATACTTGAATTCTTTTTTGAACAACCACTTGAATTCGTCACTTTTGAAACCATTAAAAAAAATGTATTGTAAATGATCTCCTTCGTCTTTTGTCATGTCCATTGCTTCTTCCAGTAATGATCGGTCACTCTCAAATAATTACACAATAAATAGTAGAAAGAAGTAAAAACTGTCTCCTCTATTGTTAATTTAATCAAAGCGAAAGGGGTCAATTATTATCGAAACATAATCAATTGAAATGTTACGCTACTGGACCAGAGGAGAGCTAACCAAGTCCACAACTAAAAGGGGACAAAACAAAGGAAGAAAAAGGAGAGTTAGACTGAATTGGAAGGTAGCGGATTCTCTCTTTTGAATAATTGACTAGTGTGTCTAAAAGGGTAAATCCCATTTTGTCCCTAAAATAAAATTTTTTAGTTAATTCTCTTGAATGATTAATTTTTTCAAATTATTTCTTTCAAAAAAATAAAAATGTTGCAATGTGATCTATCGTGTTATATTCGTTTTGTTGTTCGTCTGTTTTGTAATTTTTGATTGATTAATTTGATATAAAATACACAAACAACTAAATGAAAATAAGGCGGTGGACCACAGTGTAATATTTTTTATTTCTTTGGAGGATAATGTGAAAAAATTAATCAGGGGATAAATTAAATTTTTTTTTTATCTTTGAAGAGGCAAAATTAGACTTTTCCAGTGTTTAATATGCATATAAATAAGTAGGGCCTTTTCATAGTATCTCAATTTTTTTGGACCATGATTTATTTGTCACTTCACACCTACTAATCATATATATATATTTCCGTCTCTATCTTTACAGCCAATCATTGGTTGTAATGTAGTTAGGGAGGAATTGAAAAATGCTATTTTAATTTAAATAATTAGGTTCTATCACAGTACCCAAAAAAAAAGTATTATATAGAACAAGGGTGCCATGAATTTTCGAAACTACCTTTTGGCCACCTATTTTTATCGGATAACTATTATAATAATTAAAATGATTATCCCGAAGCATTAATAATTTAGTATTCTTATGTTAGTTTGTCAATTTGAAGCTGTGTTTTTTCTTCTTCATAAATTGTCCACTTCATTGTCAAATCCACGCAGTTTTGGTGCTTTAATATTTCAAAATCTCAAGTTTAAGCTTTATTTGAGACTTTTTAATTGATTTAATTCCTACAATTTTTGGATAAGATATAAATGTATTTTGAATTAAAATAAAGTCACAAATTGAAAAGAATAGATTATTAATTTCCCATTAAAATAAATAATTTTTCAAAATTATCTGAAGACACTAATATTTATTAAAAACAACAACTAATCTAATGGTTGAATGAATTATGTTAATAAATTTAATTTTTTTTACTTAGACACTAATGATGAATTTAGCACGATAGAGTTGAGATAAAAAATTGATGGGCACCGAGTGATTCAGTCTGAGCTTCTAAACTCTTAAAAAATGAGTCAAGGGAGTGGGAACAAGACACAAAGAATTTATGGTTGTTCATTAGTTAAGGAATTTAACTAATCACTGGCTCAGAGCTCGGCTAATTTAATATTAAGAGAGCCTCTTGCTCTTGCGGAATATATTGATAATGGGAGGATTACACAAAATATCCAATTAGGCTACAATAGCTTGTTCTCTCTTTGTTAAGGGTTATATCTCTTATTTATAGTTGATTCAAGATTTTCTTGTTCTTTAGTGAGATCTTTTATCTCATCTTTGTAATCGTTGCTACAATCATGCAACGATTGTGGAGGGTGTTAGTGAAGTTATGATTCTTTTTTCTAGATATATGACTGTTACTATTTGGATGGCACTTTGATGAAATCAGTTGTTTTCTATGCTATCCTTTTTGAGATGTAGTTGCAGGAATGAGAGATTCGATCTCGTGTTTCATGGTCAACCAAAGCAGCTAGGCTTCTGACCTGAGAAAATATAACCTTAAATTATCGAGTTCAACCTTAATTATATTTAAAATATTTTCAGACACTAATATGAGGGAGGAAGACAAAGATGTTCTTACTTGTAGTAGCTAATGTTGTTTATTAGATTTAAGATATTTTCAGACACTAATACGAGGGAGGAAAACAAAGATGTTCTTGCTTGTAGTAGCTAATGGTGTTTATTAGGTTAAACAATGTTACATAGACTTAAAAAGTAGACTTGATAATCTCAACTATTAATTTTACTGTAGGTCCCAACATTTATTAGAATCCATTATCTATTCAATAATTAAGATTATCAAGTTTATTTTTTAAATCTACTTAGCATTATTTTTATTAAGTTAGTTATTAACCTCGAGTGTATTAAGTTAAAACAATATTATTGTGTGATAATTATTTTAACACGTGGCATGTACGACAAAAGACGCCACCAACTTTTGTTTGAGCATGACGTCGTCAAATTGTTTTATTGTTTTATTTTCCCGACGTAGAACGAAGAACGAAAGGAGTTTTTAAAAATGTGTTTGGTGTGTCTGCTCATAGCCAGCTGTTTACCATACGCGTGTTTCCAGATAATCATCCTCTGCTGCCTTTTTTGTGGAGCCCACTTTTACACGAGTGGGCTCTGGGGGCCCACGCCGCCATCACTTTGCTTTCCAATGACGCAAAAGAAGATCCTGTGTGCTGTCGACCTCGTCCATGCTAAATGGATAAGTTTTATATTACGCTACGCATCTCCGACCATTATTTAAATTTTTACTTAAATTTAAATTAATATTTTAATAATAAATTTAATTTGATATAAAGAATTCTAATAGACAAATTTAAATTTAAAGAAGAAGAGACCCAAATTTAAATGAGAACAAATTCAAATTTAAAATAGAGTAAGAATAACCATTGAATCTTTAAAAGATGGTGAAATTTGACTATTAAATATTTAAGTAAAAATTTAAGTCTCTTGATTTGAGTAAAAAAAAGAGTTTTCTTTGATTTGATATAAGTTTGAATCAAGGATTGAAACAAGTTTTTTAAACTTTTTTACTCAAATTTAAATTTGAGTCTAAATTTGAATAAGGGTCGGAGATGCCCTAACAACAAAAAAATATAGGGAGAATTAAGTCCAGATTTGTTGAAATTTGTTACTTAATTATTCAAATTCTCTAACATGTAAAATATTACACACAGACCTTTTGAGATTTGTACGCACGTAACGCTTACACTCCTATTATAAATATATCCATTAATAAATTACACTTAAACTCCTTTAAAATTTGTAGGTATATAATACTTAGACTCTTGAAATTTAAAATATTATAAATAGACCAAAATATTCTAATCAAATATAAAAATATAAAATATTTTAAATTTTACAACTAAAATTCATGTTTTATTGTATCATTTATTAAAATAAAATCAAAAATAAAAATTTAATTTTTTCTTAAAAAATTATAATTAATATACAATTATATTGTCTATTAGAATTTAATTTTG